TGTGTGTGTGTGTGTGTGTGTGTGTGTGTGTGTGTGTGTGTGTGTGTGTGTGTGTGTGTGTGTGTGTGGCCCGCCACCCAGCTTCCAGCATGAGGCTTCTTGTTAAAATAAATTTTAGACAGTGTGTTTTTCTTTGCAGTTCACTGGTTACAAGGCTTTCATTTCACAGTTGCTGAATTTATTATGCTCTGTGCTGAATAGCTGCTGAATGACATTTACAGCATTGTCTAACGTCTCCTTGTCACATTAATTTAATTAACCTTTCAGTCGAATAAAATAATGCGTCGTGAATGCGCAATAACCTCTGGCTTCAAACGCCGAGGGGCTGTGCAGCTTTGGAAAGCAGCCCCCAGGTTTGGGTAAATGCTCAGGTCTGACCCCCTGACCCCAGATTTTAGCTCTGYAGCGTATGTGTGCATGCCCTTTGTTTCTCTCCTAATTACTTATTCTGAATGACATGACTATAGAATATTAGACTATAGGATACTAGATCATCATCTATTGAGAAATGATAAAGCTATACCCATTTTGATCCAACCTCAGTTTATTCCCATCGCAATGTGATCTGTTAGTGMCTTGAAAATGCTTGACAGTCAGCTACTACCACTACAAATTTTAGCTCAACATCTGTCAAATTCCATAAGAAATAGACCTTTTTGTGCGGGTTGAGAGTGACTCCAAAAGTTTATCACTTGTACATGTAAAGCCAATAATTRTGCTCTGAGTTTCATGGTTCATGAGATATTTTGCTAACAGAAATGTCCAACCACATGGCAGAAAGGTGTKGGCCAGATCTGGTGTTAAGCTGGCYGACTGTGGTTTGTCAACCGAATGTTGGCCAGGTCTGGCCATGATCGCATTGTTTTTAAGATATGTCCCAACTGGCCCAGTTGTGGTTTGATTTGTTTGTCCCAAATCTGTTAATGTCCCATCTTGCCCAGCTGTGCTTTGGTGGCCCGTGCATGGTCCCCCTCTGGCAAAACACATCTGGTCCACCGAAGGGCCATCRTTCTTTTTTGGCATCTGAGCAGAGYGTTACYATAYGGCGTGGGCCAGAATCGGGCCAATTTATATATTTTTTGCTAWGTGGGAAGGCTTTAAGCAAAAACACATGCACAATGTGCAGCGATGAAAAGATGTGTTGCTCAGCTGCKGCCACAAAAAAGGTTTATGTCAATATCTGCAAAACTGACTGAKTCGCTTTTGGGTTTTCTAATGTCAGTTGGCTGTGGCRACCATGCTGTGTTGGTTTGACTCAAGAAGGTAATCARTGGTGAATGAACATGCRTGGATTACTTTCTGAAAGTTTCACTGACCCGCAATTTTTATTTTATTTTTAAAGAAGTGTCATAAGATATTTCACTMACAGTCAGAGCAGATTTCAGTAGATATTGACAATGTTTTGAACACAGATCTTACATGATCAGTTGTTGCTTAGATCTTAGATTATAGGGGATGAGTCTSAGCTACTACCACACCAAATTTCACTGATTAATTGGATGAGTTAAAGTCATTCTTGTGTTAATATTGCTTAGCTGTGGCATCCATGTTGAATCGAGTGGACTCCAAAAGTTAATCAGTTATAAATGCACATCCATTAATTACTTTTTGAACGTGTCATTGAAATCTGTTCGGTGATTCAGACAAAATAAAATAAAAATACACAAACACATACAAAAAGGTTAACGCTCTATCTTTGCCTTCTATGTCAGGCAATAATAAATCTGGGGATCTAAGGGAAAAGAGAGACAAGTGGTCCCAGACATCATAAGGAAATGCTGTTACTGAAGTGATCAAACTAWAAGAGCTGCCTTGGCTGAGCGTCCCGTTATGAAACAATGCGACTCTGCATTAGAACAGAGGATCTGTTTAGCAGTATTTCTCTCCCCCGTGTCTCCTGGGGCTCTGCTTGTTGTAGCGCATCAGATGGTTGAATTTCAGAGGGTTCAATGATCCCACTTATTGCCAGTTTAAAGCCATTCGTCAGGACTGAGTGATGGTGAAGTGGATCAATACGCGCTGTCATGAAGCCTCGAGGCGCTGCTGAAGGACAGGATCTCAGAGAAACAAAAGGAAACATGCAGCTGTTACAGATCCTTTGGTTGCCAGTTGGCATCTGACCCGTTGAGTGATCGACAGCGTTCTTCTCTGGCTGCCTATGGTGGTGTTTGGCTTTGAAACAGATACTGCTGAAATCTGCTCACAGTTTGCTGCTCTGCCCTCAATTTGTGTTTGTCTATTTGTATTCTGGTGGGTGGTTGTGTTTTTTTTTTCCTTCTTCTTCTTTCTCTGTTATTATACAAGCACTGATTTCCCTGTGTTTTCTGATTGTCCCGTGGCAGTGCTGAATGCTGGTGCCAACAAGAAGTGCATCCTTACTATTTCATACATACTGTATTTCAGTTGTGCATCATGGTCAGTGGGCCAGTAGCAGTAGTTGTATTTTGAAACATAAATATAGTCAGTAATATAGCACTCTATAATAAATTGAAAAGTTAATGTTCCAAAAGTTTTAATCATTTAAATGTACTCAGTCGGGATGCCTTGGCATCATGTTGCAGCACTCAGGRTAGAATTCTAGCATTACTTTTGTATCTGCAGGGTATTCTAATGAACTCCCAGTGAAGTCCCTCAGTGTCAACCATGAATGTTTTAGGACCACTGCCAAATGTTCTTTGCATATTACATCTTAGCTRGTGAGGTAACTCAAAAACAGACTCCTTTCCCAGTGTTACTCATACTTCTACCTCTTGGTCCCTAACAACCTCCAGTCCTTTGAGGTGGGGTTCTGAGGAAAGGTTATAAGCAGTTTATATCTTACCTGTTTTAGATAACTTTCTGAATGACCTCRCTTTTGGGAAATTGAGTTGAATTCTGACTGGATTGAGGAGCTAACAGAGTGAATCACTGCCGTCTTGAAACAGCTCCAGTCATTTCATTTCACAGCAGTTCATGGAAACACTGTTTCGTTAAATGTTTTACATCACAGGCAATTTAGCATCACATGATCATTTTAGAATTTTGTAGGTTTTTGCAACTGTAATCTAGTTTTTTAAACTATTTTTTATTTGTGCTGTTGCCAAGATGCTAAATATAGTAGTCAGAAAAAAATGCACTGTTCTTTGTCCTTATCTGTCAGAGGTTGAAATAAACAAGCAGATTAAAGTGTTTGACACATTTTAAAATAAAAAACACAAAACACAGGCAATGACACAAAACCTAAACTTTAATCATGCAAAAAGTTACGCAGAAAAACAAGGGTMARTTGACTGTGGCAGCCATYTTGAATTAGACACAGGGTTTGTTAAAATTAAAAATAAAGTTACCAAAATGAAAACGTACGTCTAACTCTAACAACCGATTTATTTATTGGAGTCAAATCTGCATTTYCCACACGTTTTAGACAATAAATATCCATGTGCACATTGGTGGTCTGCAAATGGTTTTAGACAAGATATATTTTGATATGGTAACCAGTACAGTATAATAAGTAAATAAAATAAGTAAATAAAAATAAAATGAATTAACCCCTTAACATTCAGACCTAAAATAACATAAAAAACAAATGTGTCAAATGGAACGTGGGCATTCCGGTGGATGTTAAATGAATAAAATGTGATAACTAAATTATGGAAATAAGAAAAAAAAGGTTTTACTAAGCACTTTTCTTTGGCTGTACACTTTATATATTTTATTTGCATGTTTTATGCTTTTAATCCGGCAATTTATTGAGGTAAAGCTGCAGAATATAAATGATTAACTTCAACTGTAGGAAAGTCAGCCAGTTACTAGTCAGTCATTTTTAGGACTAGTTTTTAAACCTTAAAAAATTAAGATTAAGGAACTTTTGAATATGAGTTTATCAATTACTGGTTTATTTTTTTGATTGACAGCAGTGGTAAAAAAGGGTGAAGAACCCATTAA